AAAACTGTCGAGCGCGGATTTTTGATGAGTGGAGTAAGGCCAAAGATAAAGAAAGACCTTGTCCATTTCATAGTATAAAACCCCACCAAATATAGATTAATGATTATCATTTGAAAACTACTATATATATAAATGCATGTATTATAAACTTAATATTAGTAATTAAAATAAATAATAAATAAATAAAAGAATTGAGTGTTGATGGTGATTCATGAGCATCAGCACCCACTAACACACAAACTAAAATACGTGCTCAAGACTATTGAAAACTTCACCTCATCCCATTAAATGTGGCCATATGGAGATTTTAATTTGGTGGCAAAATAAAATTAAATAAAATAAAATAAAAAGAAAAATAAAATGAATGATTAAAGTGGAAATAAACTTTAGAAATGGTGCCAAATGTAGACAGGAAAAGGACCGCATGATGATATCAAACAAGAGAATGGATTTTCTATGTGGACAGATAATAATATATATGTAGTGTGAGGGTGCATTTTTATTAATTATTATTATTATTAGTCAGATTATTGGTAGGTATTATGAAATTATATATAAATTAAATGCATTAATAATAATATGGTGATATATATATATATTATATATGAAGGAAGGACAAGTGGGGATGGATACATGTCCTATGTTTTTTAAATCTTTGTTTGAAAGTTTGATATATTAATAATTAATAATAAATAATAATAATCCAACAATAATATTGAAGTAGACAAAGACTGGAGAGCTGAAAATGACACAACCAAGAAGTGGGGCCCATAACTATTGAACCACACCTAATTAATTTTTGCAACACCACTTTTCCTAATCATGTCCATTTTGAACCTGCACGTAACGATATGTACATTTCAATGGGTTCAATACTACTATTTATCACACACACACCAATATTGGTTGGTGTGTAGATCTAACTGGTGAATAATAATAATAATAATAATATATACACATTTCTCCAATATTATTCACATATATATGTATGTGGTTAGTTTTTCAACTACTTTATGAGACGAATGTATTTTGATTTTTAAATGACGAATTTCTTCGGTCCCAGTACCGATCGACGCCCACACACGGGCAAGTTGCGTGATCACGACTATATATGAAAATGGTCCTCTTAGAATTTCACATCAAATTAAGTGAGATGTTATACTATTCTTGATCGGTTCGTCATTCAATTCAAACCTATCGATCTTTATGGTTTAAAAGCTCGTAAATTATTCAATAAGCGTGATGGTTTTTTATCTCTCGATGCCGGATGAAGTTATCAAATTAGTTTCTTTCTAAAAATGAAGAGTTCTTCTTTTTTTTTATTTATTTATTATTGAAAAAGTCAGTTCATGTATAAAAAGAATCAACATTTATCGTGCATGCTAAAGACTATGCAGTAGTATATTATGGTTTTCTAGATAGATTTATAAAGTCAAATAAATTGAACAATAATCAACTGTATTAATTAGATCTAATTATCTCTAAGCTAAGTGGAATATATATGACCAGTCAATCAATTAATCAAGAAATCTAAAAATAAAAAATAAAAAAATGAAATAATAATATAGAAAAGTGTGTGGGATTGAAAATAATAAGGTGCAAGAAATGTCACATCTCTGGTAAAAAAAAGAAATAATATAAATGGGGTTTGTTGTTATTATATAGTGGTTAAAAGGGGCCCAAAGTAATTATTGACGTCAGATCGTGCAGCTAATAAGTAATTAAAAACAGACCAAAGCTTTCCTGGTTGTTATCAGAAACCTCATCTTGTCAGAACATAAATAATTATAATTATAAATAATAAAAAAAACAGAGTCATTTGCAAGAACAGTGAGGCTGGCTAGCTAAGTAATAATTGATATAAATCCACTGGGCCACGTGGAAAATATCAATCATGAAAATTGCAAACCTGTTTAAATCACAAAGTATCCAAAACCCCATTCATTAATTGAATCAAACCAAAACCCGACAGTTTTGGGCTTTCTTGTAGGGACCAGGCCCACTCCCCAATGCATTCAATTACTACTATTTTTATTTCATCATTTTTTCTTTTCTTTTTTATTATTTTTTACACATCTTAAAGCAGTCATTCATTTGTTACAGGTGAAAAATATTGAATAGTACTATTGACAAATGTAAATTTTATATATATATATTGGTGTAAATGAGTCGAGCTCGAGCTATTCAGCTACGAATTGAGAAAATTAGGATTCCATGATGTACGTTTCAAAGGGGTAGATTTGCAACGTGAAAAAATTAAAGGAAAAGAAAGAGAAATTAAAATTGAACTATATATTATAAGTTGTATATATCATATTCTTTAATTTATAGTCCCCACTGATGTGAACCTTAATGAACAATTACTTTTCCCGTGACAGGATTCTTGGCCACTTTCTTTTTTATAAATAAAAAAGAATACAATAATAGATGTGCAGTGGAGTGATTGAATAAGCTAACTGCCATTTTAAAGGAATTCCGACAAGATGCACACAATTCTCCATAATCCTACTTTTACAAAAAAATGATAAAAACACCTAATTTTGTACCATATATACTTCTTTTTTTATGGTACCATGCATCATGTAAGCTGTAACTATGTGTGTGTGTGTGTGAGAGAGAGAGAGAGAGAGAGAGAGAGAGAGAGAGAGAGAGAGAGAGAGAGAGAGGCCCTTTGGGAGGGTGAACGCATGCACTTTTCTATGGCTAACTTATAGTGCTAGGTTCAACGGCTGGCTTTTTTGCGCATTCATTTGAACTTGTAGATAAATAGTACATATTACATGATCCTATATTATTACACAATAATCAAATGGGGATGGGATTTAGTGATAATAGATTAAACTATGAAAACAAAAGAATGAAGAAATGGTAAATGGAATGAACTTAAAAGGAGAAAAGCTACTGAGTGGCAAAACTTCTATAAGAACATGCTTAATCTTTTTGTTTACGGTTCAATTTCAATGTCGCCTTTCTTTTTTCTCGTCGTCCACAATTCACCGATGGCGGCACCAAAATAGAAAAGCTACTGAATAGGGTTTGGTAGAGATGCGGAGTCTAAATACCTCAAATGGGTGGTGAGGATCAAAGCAGAGAGAACAAATGGTCAAGATTCACGATCAAAAGAGTTATGTGGGATCGATCAGCCGAATCGAGTAAACGAGTTGGTTGTTCCGATAAACGCGTCGGTCGCATTTAAGAGTGGCTGAAACTGGACTAAAAGTCATTTCACTTCACAGTCCAACGGGTAATTTGTATCACTTACAATAGTTGAAGATTAAAATAAAACTCTAGACAACCCATAGGAATGAATTAGGATTCCCAATGCTGAATTTGCGGGAGGTGGTTAGATCAACTCCAATGCTAAACATCAAAATTGGATTATCAAATACTCATTTGATAATTAAGATAATGTTTCAATATCTATTTAAAGTTTATCTACTCCAACCATGGTTATCAAAATTAATATTCAATTGGAAGTTTTTTAGTAGTTTTATTTGTAATTGCCACATGCCATTTTGTGATTGGATGTTTAGGTGGTTCCTTTTTTTAGAGCAACTCCAATAGAGTTATTAAATGAGTTATTAAATCTGTTAACTACCATTTGACTCCTAAAATTTAGAAATTATGTTCTCCAATGGTGTTATCAAAATGGGTTAGTATTTTGATATTTCATCTCTTTGTATCTAAATATACTTCATGCAGAATGAGTTACCAAAAAATTAACCATCTACTCAACCATTCACAAATTAACATGTGGCAATTACGAAAAAAATCACCAAAAAACTTCCGATTGATAGTAAAATTTGATAACTATGATTGGAGTTGGTGAGTTTTAAAATATTATCTCAAATATCAAATGAGTAGTTGATAATTCAATTTTTTTCCAGGATGTATTTTCACATACAAAGAGGTAGAATATCAAAATACTTTCCCATTTTGATACTCCTTTTGGAGTAGAAATTTTTAATTTTCGGATATAAAAAAGGAGGTTTATGGATTTGATAATCCATTTGATACTCCCATTAGAGTTGCTCTTAAGTTAATTCACTTAATTGGACAATTAGATGGGCCGCGAAACACTTAACGGGCTCCCACTATCAAATGGGCTTATGAACCGGGCCACATACTCAGCCCATATTACTGTTGTGGGACCCACCGATATAATAGCTAGAAACGTCAAATATGCATTCACAACAAATAAGAAAAACACGACAATAGGAAGTTTCCCACTAATTCTAGAAGAACACGCTTTTCAGTCAACACGTTCAAAATCAGAATTTTTCTTTCGCCGTCTAATTACCGACATCACCCATACACTCACAGCCAATAAGCAAACAAACCTTATAAATACATCCGCCACCATTATCATCTTCTACATTTCTCAAACTATTTAAATACACAATATAAATATCATACATATATATACACAAACATATACTGATATACATACACATCATCATCATCATCATCATCATCTTAAAGAAGCTATGAACCAATACGATCAACACCACCAAGTTGCAGGTTTGTGAAGCAACATGCATTTTATTTCTTTATTTCATGCAAAATCTGCTGCTACGAAATTTTCACCATGAATTTTGATAATTTAATTTGAAACAGCTGCATATCCAGCACCTCCAACTTCGTATCCAGATACCTATAATGGCGGTCAATACGTAACGGCACCACCACCAATTGGTTACCCTGCGAAAGATGGTAACCAAAACGGGCAGGCACCGGTTGAGACAACTAGTCGAGGAGACGGGTTTTTTAGAGGATGGTGAGAAATTTCAACCAATTCTTGATTCGTATGTTTAATTTTAAAATGGGAGTTGCTAAACTAATTATAACTACTATTCTTTCTGCAGTCTTGCTGGAATGTGCTGCTGCTGCTGCCTGGACATGTGTTTCTGATGGAACACATATATATATATATGTAACAAACAAACATTCTAGGATTGCATATTATTTCAGATTGGTTGTATTATTCATTCATCTATTGTATACTAGAGCTTGATTTTATTTTTAATGGATTCATATTTTCATATACTACCAAGTATTTATATTCCATCTGTACAGCACTCTCTTTAAATCATTTTGCACATTATATATTCATCAAAATATAAAAAGAATGCAGAAAAGCAAGTTCAATGTAACAAATTTTGAGCCACGCCTATCAAAAACGAAAGAAGAAATCGCAAGCAAACAATCAAATGCCAAGCTCGGCACGAAACAAAATAGTTACGACCACAAGTTATTGAATCTCTTAGTTGAATAAACTCATAATACACTAGTCCACTTTGTTCTAAAAAAAGTATCATTTTCCACAACTATAAACCCAACTATTATATACCATCATCGACAAAGAGGCAAACGATCAAACAGCAGATTGATTAATATACAAGCGAAAATCGAACACACTAAAACCAACAGAGCTTTTCAACTAAGGATAGCAAATTAAAATCACTGTTTAAGGAGAATAGAGCATCGATTAATACGGCATTTTAAACCGAAACAGGACACTAACTTAAACAAAGTCCACGCAGATACTAAAAATCGAATGTAAAGATTTTTATATCGTCTACAATGATCCTATAGATGTTAGTAGAGTAACAGATTAACTACACACATTTCAAATTGCCAATCTATAAATCAATTTGCTGAGAAATTGAAAATGCAATTCCCAATAGCTAATGAAAGATTATGAAGAAATGAAAATACGATAAAACCAAAAGTGTAGAATAATTAGAAAGGAGATATCCATGAAATACCAGAGTAGTAGACATTTCATTCAAATCTTAAACCATAATCTTAACAATATAATCCGCAAAATAGAAACAAGTTCATCAGTCAAAATTCCTAAAAAAAAAAAAAAACATAAAGCAAATCGAAACACAAAACAGAAGATACGAAATGAAAATGTTTCCACTTCAGAACCTGAGCTTGGAGAAGAACCAACGGTTCTTGCCAGTTTTGAACCTCTCCTCAAACTTGCCCTTGACCTCCTTGCAGGCGGTGACCTTCTTGTCACGCGACACGAGCGCGTCGGCGGAGACGACGTCCTTGAGATCCACGTCGAGCGTGTAGCGCGTGGGCATGATGTGGTTGTAGTTCACGAGCTTGATGAATGCCTTGACCCGAGATTTCTTCGCCTGCTTCTTCGCGGAGTCCTTGCGGATCACTTTGCTCGGGTACTTGGCGATTCCGGCGACGAGGCAGTGCCCGTACGCGCGGTCGCGAGTGCCGTCGTCAAAATTCTTCACGATTGTGGCCTTGTGACCGGCGAATCGACCCTGGAGGAGGATCACAGCCTTGTTTGGCTTCAGGAATTTCACCATTTTCGCTTCTCGTCTCTCTGTGTGTGTGAGTGTGGCGATGCGAAGTTCAGCTGCTGGTGGGATTAGGGTTTTGAGTGAGAGATTTTGATTATATATTCCCTGGTTGGATACACGGAAATGCCTAGGGTTTATTTTAACTTCATAGTATTGGGCTTTTTTTATGAACGGGCCGTAAACCTGTTTAATATGGGCCTCCAAATAACTAATTTATGGTGGTTTTTTAGATTAATTTATGGTGAAGTAATTGATTTGATTTAATAATTGGCATCGAAATGACCTTGGTTCGAAAAGCAATCGAGTCGATTTCTAACGAAATTTAATAAAGGCGAATAGGAACCGAAGTCTAATAATTAAATTTTCAATACATAGTTTATCATTGTTTAATCGAGATCAAACTCGATCCGAATTTCATAGTTTGATTTTGTATCCTAATTCCTAAATATGAGTTAAAACAATGGGTAAATTACAGTCACCCTGAGATAATTGTCAAATTAAGAGAAAATACCTCATGTTTAGGTAATTACAATCACCATGAACTATAAATCTTATCACACATCCACCGTTGCACGGTTAAATTTTATAGATAATGTAGAATATTCTCAAATCTGTAACAGTTTTATCTCATTCGAGCTCCACATTTTGAAACAAGATGCTCATAAGATGTGTTTTTTGGCTTATAAAAATATCAGATTGTAGTGCATCAAAAATTGCAATTTTTGCACAAAACGAGTATAAACTAGAAAATCTTCCATATAATGTAGAAAATTATGTTGAATTTGAAAGCATAAGATGTATTTTTCGTAATTTCACCTAACTTCAGGGGTGACCGTTATTTACTTAAAAAATTGAAGGGAAAAACGTTTGGCGGGCTGGGCTTTATACGTGGGGCCTTATAAAGAGAGCCTGACCCAATACCAAAGAAGTAGTTAACCCGGTTGGATATCCAATACTATGGAGACCCGACCCATATTCGAAGTTATCGGATCAGATTTTTCTATTTTTACCAATTAAACTGGAGGAGTGACACGCACTTTCAATCCCTTCAGCAAAAACGGGGAAAGAAAGAGAAGGAATTAATTTCCCTTCCCTCTCAACTCTGTTAACAATATACAAAAGCAAATATATTTTTGTTGATGTTCTAAATTAGCGGAAGCTTATTATTCAGAAATGATTATCTCCTCCGGCCCCCTTCACCACCGCACCCTATCTTGCAGCAGAACTTCGATTTGCGGCGACAACTTCCGGCGAGATTATGAGCTCTTTCCAATACCCAGAAATCTTTCTTCCTCCAATTCCGCCGCGTACAAGTCCTTACATTTGCCTGTTTCTCAGAAGCCCTTGTTTTCTCGGACAGCTGTCGGCTCGGTAATAATTTTTTCAGTATTTTCCGACAAATTTTTTTATATTTGTTTTAAATTGTGTAAGATAGTTCACTTAATTTCCTTATGTTGAATATGATTTTATGCCCACAAATCATAATATACATAATCGCTTCGCGACTTGTTGAAAATGGAGCATTGTTTAGTATTGTCTACAGTTTTGTTTGTTTTATAGATTAAGTATGTGTTATGATTGTAAACCTGTAATAGAACTTGTAATAGTTAAGTAATTTACCTTGTAGATTATTATGTAACTCCGTAAACTTAGTCGTTTATCTTTTGAAGTTTTGATGAGTTGTCAATGTGTTTAATATAAAAAGTTCGTTGCAGAATGTGAGTGAAGATACAGATGATATGTACGACGACTTGTTCAAAAAGTACGGGAAAGTGGTGTTTACAAGAAACGATCAAAAGTCTGCTCTCACAGAGGTTGACGATGATGCTGAATGCTTGTCCTGTAAGTATTACTGCACTACATTTAGTATATGATTCTTAGTACTCTCAATTCATCTGAAAATAAATATAAGGCTTGAGGTTTAACAAATTTGATGCAGTTGCTGTGGCATTGGCTAAGGTTGCAAGTGATGTCAAAGCATCAGATATACGGCTTCTCTTCGTAAAGCCTCTTGTTTATTGGACTCGTTTTTTCATCATTGTTACTGCTTTTTCTCGCCCTCAAGTTGATGCCATTGGGTAAGTCCGTTTTTTCTTCTTTTTTTTTCAAATGCTGTTACAAATTGAGCAAGTGAGCAAGTCAGTTATAGTTTGGCATCTAGATCCTGTCAAGTCGGTAACTCCGTTTTTTTTTTTGTGTATATATATATATTTTTAATTTTAGGTCAAGAATAAGAGACTTAGCTGAAACGCAATATGGAAGAACAGCAACTGGGGATTATAAGCCCAACTCGTGGACACTGTTGGACTTTGGTAAGTTTGTCCGAACTACATCGAGATGATTTAAACGAACTAAATTAGTTCACTTCTGAATGTTTAGCAACAATGTATCGACCCGTCTTATATGAACTAGTTTAACTGATATGTACTTCTTGATTCCAGGTGATGTAGTTGTGCATATCTTTCTTCCTCCACAAAGAGCTTACTACAACTTGGAAGAGTTCTACGCTAATGCAACGCTTATCGACTTACCTTTTGAGGATCAAAAATCATTTCGCGGTTGATGTATTTACCTCTGTTGTGATAGACGTGCTTTTGAAATTCAAGTGGCAACTCGTGTCGGTTTTGGAGCAAAATGCTGCGCATATTTGTTGTATTGTAGTTTCTTGATTGAGAATAATAGATATTTGTGATATCAGTGTGTTATTCCAACCACATTTTATGCCTATTAAAGTTAGTTTCACAGCTTAGTTCCGCTTTTTTTTTCTTGCGTGGTTAAGTTCTCTATTCCGTAAACATTACCTTCCCTTTTCTTTTTTTCTTTTTGAAAAAATAGATAAATAATTTTTTTAGACACATCCTAGTTTTGGGTCAACAAGAATTTCTAAATGAACAAGTTAACAGCCTGACTATGAACTGATCGGCCAGGTGAAAGGTCGAATTCCGGTGGACCCTGGCAATGGTCATGTCTAGTAATATAACAATTTGATTCTCAAACAAGTAGCAGAAACCAGATACAGCATGTAGCCACATCATTCCTCGACAGACCTCAAACACACAGACCTCAAACACGACCTAATTAGCAGCGTAGCTTAACAAAAAAAGAACAAGATTTTTCTTACAGAATAGTTAGTATCAAAGTTTTAGTCACACAAACATTTCCATACAAATGCATCGACCATAAGAGTAAAAAAGCACTATCTAGATAGTACAAATATCTTTTCCAAACAGACACTTTATGCAGCCTCTTTTCACAGCACCACCCAAGAACCAGTCTGCTTCGTTGCTAAATTCAACTTATGCTTTACGAGGAGGAGGAGAACCGCTGGTACTGCTGCTGCTAGGACTTCTTCCTCTGATAGGCCTAGAAACACAAACTCATGTAAAATTAACATATAAAGCTTTGAAAGAGAAAAAGGGTCAATATCTCTTATATCGTCAAAGGTGATTCTCATCCTCGATGAAGAAAAATCATGAAAGAATCGAAAAAGGTATTCAAGAAAACTACCTTCTAGGACTACGGCTCCGAGATACTCTCCGTGGTCCCTGCAAAAGAATTCAGAAGATGCATCTGAGTTAGCCACCAACCTAAAAGAATCTGCTGCTGATAAAGATAAACAAGGAATGCTTACCCTGCGAGGACTGGGGGATGAAGAAGGAGACGACATTTTACCCCGTCTAGGAGGTGGTCCACGACCTCTGTAAACATTGAAGAGGAAACACCACATAGTTAGACATATTAACAATATCGAAAAGGAAATGAATGAAATGCAATTTAGTGCATCCGGCAATATGATAATTTAAAAAAATGGTATCCTTTTTTTACTAGAGTCTGCACTGTTTCTTGCTTAAGGATGGCAATCAGTAACCAAAGATAAAAGGAAGAATGCTATTTCTGTACACGTGGTAGAAGAAATATCACATGTCGAGACATAATAATCAACAGAAGAGAAAGAATAAAACCCATTGGAGTTGTCGTAATGCACAAATAATTAGACCAAAAATTGATAACTTATTTGCATTTCACCTTCTTGGAGAGGGAGATCTTGATGGTGAGCGGGCTGGCCTCCTAATAGGAGAGCGACTGCGTCGGCGGCCGATTGGAGACCTTCTTGGAGGACTTCGAACACGTCTAGGAGAACTACAAAAATAAGATTAATGATTATGAAGATGCAGAATTAATGATAATACTGGTCAAGCCACAACAGCTATTTTGCTTCAAAAGTAGAATTTGCAGACAGCAAATGAATGAAAAAAAACAGGCTGGCAATGTATGCAGTCTGTTAAAATGTGTAGGAAGTATAAATGGCAATACGAAAACCAAGGAAGCCAATAGTCATAGAGTTATCAAGATCACTTGGTATATCTGCTGGAACTATTGAGTGTAAACCTACACGATGTAACCACAAGTCCTACATATCGCTTCACTTTGCACACATTTGCATAATGGTACATCCTTAGATAATTCAGAATCTGACAGCACGTGCAAATATTTACAATTGCATAACTTGGTTAAACGATCCCAAGCTAACGACTTCATTTCACAATACATGGAATTTCTTATGATTTAAGAATAAGGAAGCCTGGGATATTTTATACAATATTCAAAAGTAATAAACAACTTAACATACCGCCGCCTAGGTGGAAGTGGGGAACGTCGACGAACAGGGCTACCACGTATTCTTCTAGGAGACCCCCTGCTCAAAATTACATCTATCAAAAGCTGACCCAGGAAAAGTAGGAGATAGAAAATTGAAATAAAGGGTAATTATATATATATAAAAAAAAAAGGCTCAACCTTGGAGGTGAACGGAAGCGCCTTGGAGGCGAGGGTGAACGACCTCCTCTGGGAGGGGATGCAGGCCTTCTCCTAGGAGGCGGAGAGTCACCTCTTCTATAAGGTGAATCAGCTCTGCGGCGAATAGGTGAGTCTCCACGTCGACGAGGTGGAGGTGGTGGTGGTGGTGGAAGTGGAGAACCTGTCTCCCTTCGGGGCGACCCTCTTCGTCCTACAGGAGATCTCCTTCGAGGAGAGAGTGGTTTTCGCCGAGGAGACCCTGATAAAAGTTTTGCTTAAATAATAATGTACAGCAAAAGCAAAGCGTCCAATTAGCACTTTGGGGAAAGTGATCTTACCTTCTTTTGGCAGCTTCGGTCCATCTTTATCTCCGTCCACAGCAGCATCGTCGGATTTAGGGGCATCTCTCCTAGACGTTGTGGCAACAGCCTTAGGAGGAGAAGCAGCCTTTTTTCTCTCAGGTAATGTAAACTTGGCCCGAACAACTTTACCATCAATTTGAGCCTGCAAAAACATGGTAGAGGAAAATTAAATTCCATATAAAGGAGAAGACCAATCGTGTAGTCAAAAATAACAAAACCATACACCATCCATATGTAACTGGGCCTTTTCAGCATCAGCCCTGCTCTTGAACTCAACATATGCAAATCCTTTGGGGAGATTAACCTGTAAAAAAAAGATATCACAATTAAAGAATGCATTGCTGGTTCTGAGAAGAAAATGGGGGAATATAACTTACAACATGATCAATTGCCAGCCGTACATTCACCACTTCACCAAAACTACCTGGAGAAAGGAGCAATACAGAGGAATAAAACACAGCCTTACAAACAAGATAAGTAATGAAATGTTTCCATGCGTAGCTGTAAGCATACCAAATATTTCTTTCAAATGGTTCTCGTTCACATTCCTGCTGAGCTGGTCAACATGGAGCACAAGGGATTCTGGAATAGGAGAAGCTCTCCTGGGGACATTGGTCATAGACAAACATAGTAAGACAGACATGAATGATCCACAATGCTAGCGGAAGTGAAGAGAGAATTAACTAGGGAAAAATCTAACACAAACTAGTAGGATAAAACAGAAGATAAACGATGCCCAATATGACAACACATAAATAACAACTTGGCCGAGTAATATTGCATTTTAACATTTCTCATATTTTGCAATGCAAGTAAAAACTTTTAGGATATATAATTATAGCAAGTGAAATCCTTCAGCACGCACACACTAGTAGAATAATGCAAAACCATCTTGATATACATACTTTATTCCCTTTCAAAGAACTAATCTCACCTTGGAGGTGGAGAAGTTTTCTTGGTCTGAGGTGGGCCAGATGGCGGTGAGCGACCTCGTTTAATTCCTTCAGCAGAACTATACACAGGCAATCCAGAGAACGAAAACAAGAAGAGCACAGGTAAGTTAACCATTTCATTTCAACCAAACACCAAACTGATGGGGATGTGTGTGTGTGTGTGTGTGTGTGTGTGTGTGTGTGTGTATTCCAAATAGTTGTCACATTCCGCCAGTATCATTACAATTTGGAAACACACTTATGGGTCAGAGCACCAACTGCCTTAAGCATCTAGGTTGCAATTTTTCATTTCCCTTTTTTTGGGGGCGGGGGCGGCAGAATTTGACAATTTTCATGCCGATAATTAATTAATTATTATTACCCACAAAAAAATATAAAAAATGCTATCATCCCTAAGAAAACGCATAATGAAGCTTTTCTAAATAATTATGGAATCTGAACATCAAATACTATTGAAAAAGCAACAGATTAACAAGAATTAAGTCAAGCATTTGAACACATTATTCAAAATAACATGAAACGATTACGAACTCAGCAGAACAGAATAAAAACAAATTCACCTTTTCCGTGGAGGAGCAGGACTACGACTGCGGGAGCTGCCACTACGAGAACGAGAGGAAGACGACGAGTAGGATCTTGAGCGGGAACGCGACCGAGAACTCGAACCAGAGTAAGAACGCGAGCGAGAGCGTGAGGAGGAGCCAGAATCTGAGCCCGACCGAGACGCCGGACGGCCGCGGGCGGGTTTCGCCATCGGAGTAGCGCGTTGAGCGGTGGATTTCAAATCCCTCGATAAACCCTAGGCTGAGAGCGAATTTTGTGATGAGCGGATGATGAATCCGTTCAGCCGGACGGGGCAATTAGTTATGGGCTCTGACGAAACTGTATAAATGGGCCTTGGACCGCTCTCTTATATTTCGGGCTTTCATTTTTTTTTTTGGTTATTTTATTTATTTTAATTCTTTATTTAGAACATTTAAAAAACAAATGAACCGGTGTATACACTACGCTACATTGGGTGGAATACATCAGGTAAATTTTTATCATTAATATACACATAAACACACACTCACATTGGTGTGTGTAGATCAACCGTAAGAATCTAATTAAAAGTTAAAACTCACTAGTATGATTATTAATTAGGATTTGGTAATAATGATCCTATGATAGAATTTGAATATGTATTCCCAAAAACATTTAACACCACTTTGCATTCAAATTAAAATGCAGCACAAAGGTACATAAGTTTATCATTCCAAGCAAAATTACACAAGCAAAATCTCTCATAAATCGAACCATCCGAGCAACAACGATAAAATAAAGCAACATTTTTGGCTCAATTAATTATCATACAAGAAATTAAACAAAGTTAAAAGTTCAGTTCGGTTCCGATTTTCTTCTTTTCGGCTCGTTCTCCCCCAATTGCAGTGAAAAGCTAAGGTCTTCACCACAGTCGTTCCTCAGTACAGAAAGATTCTCGGATTCCAACCGATCTGCGTCTTCATCCCGCACAATGGGCTCCCCGTTAAAGCTGGGTATGAACTGGTGCTCGAAACTGGGGCCTGCATTGGGCACGTCTTCCAAATCGAACGGGCCTTCTGCGGGGGATGAGTTAATGTCGGGCCCACACGGACCATCTTCCGTTAAAGGGATGTGCTGGATGTGAAGACCCAACGGCTCGGATTTGTCCTTTGGGAGCATTATTACATCGGGTGGAGGCGATGAGTCACCAGCAGTGGATCCCACCATTGTCATTGAAGCAGCTAATTGTTCTTGCACTGCAACTATTTAACAATGCCACCATAATTAAAGATAATCTTTTTTTTTTCGGTCCTCAATAAATTTCCGAAGGACTCGAAGTTAGGCAAATAATATACTAAAGGTCACCAAAAAAAAATAAAAATTACTAACCTCCGAGTGCTTCATCCGAAGTAATGATATCAAGTTCGAGGAAATTGAGTAGGCGGCCAAGATCAACACCGCTGGTCCAATTCTCCGGCGGCTGGCCCACTTTCAGCTTAAGGCGGCCCCTATTGGCGGTTCCGCCCCATATTATCCCAACCGGGCGGGGCTTCTCCCCGTTTTCACCCTTCAATACAATGAGGCTACCACTGTCACCTTCGAGATCGAAAGTCTGCTGGTTTTCTCCAACAACAAGAAAATCGGTCAGAAAGCATATTCCCTTTTCGTCGTTGTACTCGAGAGCATATGCCAAAACAGTTCCTGTAGTGAATCCCGAACTCCTCCCCACCTTCATCACTTGCTTCCCAACTAGACTGTCGATCGGAGACTGTAAGTCTATAGTTTTCACATCTCCAATTTCACCTATCCTTTTTACAGATGTGGTTACAGCTGTCATGTCGAAATCGTCTGCGAATGGAATAAATGCACCATCCGCTCTTACGAATGTTTCTGCATTAGGTGAATTAATCAATCTTATTAATCCCTATATTTCAAATCGGGGCCTAAATGGACGAGGGGATGATAAGTAAAGGACAACGGACTAGGGGTGGGAATTGGAACTGAATTTCCGATTTCCACTGATTTCGATTTCGGAACAATGTTTTTCATTCCAAACTCCGAAATTCCAATTTCCGTTTTTTTTAATCAGAATTGGAATATATATGAGATTTCGATTTCTGATCCATTTTTTTTTTCCAAAAAATCCATTTTTTTTTTATATTACACTTTAAATAACAATATTATTATTATGTATTATATATTTAGGTGATTAAACATTGGAAGTTTCCGAATTCCACCGATTCCGATTTCATTCAAATTTTCGGTTTTTTTGGAACGGAATTGGATTTAGTTTTTTGCTTCTGAAGAATTTTGGATTTTTTTCTCGAAAGTAATAATTCCAATATGGTCCGTCTGATTTCCACCATAGACAACACTATAAGAACTGACCTGGATTAATGCCAGCGAAAATGCCGAACCAGAGATCGTCTCTGATGAATGAAGTTGCTCGTTCAACTGCACCGAGATAAACACCAGGTCCAAGTGTTGGTGGTAGAGGATGAAACATTTTCTGATTTGGGTAATCTAAGTCAACTGCCACGTGTCGATTTGTGAGGAAACCGATTTGACGATTGCCTGTTTGGCTTCTTACAATGGCGCCTAAGGTTCCATATGTTTCCTGGTTCGCAACCTGACATGGTGATGCTATATTAACGCAAATGCTGAAAGATGTATCTAACATAGTTAAAAAAAATTGTCTTGGGAAATAGGGCCCACTACAGTAGAGACCAATTTGGAATAAATCGAGACGGCTCAATTACGGAGAACATAAGTGTTGAACGTAATCCAGCACGCATTTGAACCGTCATCACTTACAACGAAACTCAGCCTACATTGCGTGTAAGGTAACAAAAGAATTCATATTTATAAAGATAATAAAAAAGCATTCGTTTTTAGAAGTACCTGAGAACCAGAACCAATACAAGGATCACCCCCACGCAGGTCATCAACAATCTCAGCATACAACTGTTCCTTCGGTGCAGGCTCAGGTGCACCAAAGTAAGAAAATTCCACCACATCCACATCACACCATACACCCCCTGGTCCCTAAAAAAATTCCAAAAAAAAATTAATACGCAATAAATCAAGAAAGCTTCGTGTTATATTACCTCCAAAGCAGTAGGCAGGCACTGGATAGGACTAAGCCACTGCTTGTGCACTTTCCTCGAAACGAAAACCAGAATTGCAGGTACGTCAGTCAGAACACCGCGCCTGATACGAAAACCGATCGCTGTGCCGAGGCTGTAGCACCGCAGGATCTTACTGTGGAATGCCCTAATTGTCATGAGCTCAAGCAGTGAATTAGCGCGCTGTCCTTCGGGCAGCTGACCGAGGGTTTCCGGAAGGACGCCCTTTTGAAGGTTTGCGAAATAATTCGCCCTCTCTTCTGCATCGTCTTTTATACGGCACGGCCATGAGAAATAGGCAGCGCTGCTCTCGCAGTGTTGACCAGCCGATGTGTGCGGTTGAAGTGGCGGTGGGCTGAACGAAGGGCGGTAGGAATTATTGAAGCTGTATTTTTCGAGATCTAGAGATGATTCCTCTGATGGTGTTGAGCCTGAGCCTGGTGCTCTAGAATGTGACCTTGCTTGATCCATTCTTTCTTTTTTTTGGCCGAAATGCGTCAAGGATTGATTTGCTGCTTATTGTGAAATCAAGGGCTTGTTACGAAAGACTACTCTTTATGTGAAAGATTTTCCTGATATGTTAAAGCAAAAGTGAATGGTTAAATCTATTGAGCTCTACAAACGACATCAGATAAAAGAAGCAAAGAGAAAGAGGGTAAAACCGAGAGGAATATATGAAAATTTTAGCATACTTCCGTAGACAAACCACGAAAAGTTTCGTTGTATAATTTCACAATACCCTAAGACCATAAGCATTTCAATATAACATAATCCGTATACGAAAACCTTGCACCCTCTATTAATCCAGACGTTGCGAACACAGACCACGGAAACGCATAATATCAGCAGTGCCACAATCGGACCCAGCGATTTTCTGAACTTGAAACAGAGATTGAAATTCAATAATGTTTTTTTTTGTTTGGAATAGTTACTAACAACAATGCAAAATAGTAAACAATTTAATATAACGGAAAATACAAACAAGGATTTCCCACACAAGGCCCAATAACCTAGATGAATCTACTCTACCTGAATTTGCATATTTCAAAAAAAAAAAAAGGAAAAAAATTCAAACTGATCAAAAACATTTTAGAATAACGATCGTTCTTAAAATTTTCAAACTAGTAACTACAGTTCTACAGAAGAAGGATGTTAATTGAAGAAACAATAAATTAGCAGGGAATAATGATTTGCTTTGCTTTCTTCAAAAACAGAAACAGAAGGCAAGGGAAAAAAAAAATAAACCTGTGTTGCGAGCTTATTACCTCACAATCAGAAAGCAAAAAAAAAAAAAGCTCCGTCTCTGAAAATGGCGAATCGGCAACACCCGGACCATAATAGCCACAAGGCCTGGCTCAAATTAGCATCCCACAGTAGCACACACTATTGATGAAAGCAAAAAAGTCTTTTTTTTTAATTATTATTACTTTTTTCCCAGTGTGCCTTCAGTGTGCGAGAGGAGACGCAGGGGAGGAGGGCGAAGTTGCCTCCGGTTCTTTTCCTGCAGTGACTTCTTGTTTTCTATTTTTTTTTTCCTTTTTTTTTTGTTGAGGAAGGTAAACTTGACAAGTGATATTGAACTTTGATTACAGCATGATATTTCGTACAGTATTATTTTGTCCAAATGAGACGTATCATTAATCATCAAAACATAAACTTACTAGATTCGAAGCATAATACAATTTTTTAAATGAGGTAACAAATTTTTAGGATGTTAATTGAAATTTAATTTTCAGTATTTGTGTTGATGATTCATTTTCAGTATTGAATTCAATGACATTCATGCAGCAATTTAATAACTTAATGCCTAAGGCTAAGACCAAGTGCGGACACTTGAAAAGCGTGCCCTTCGATTTTATAGGTGGAAATTGGACGGATCGAGTCGGAATAAGCACTTTCCAATTTTTTTTCAGAAGTAAAAAATCCTTTCCAAAAAAAGTTGGAAATCGAAATTTTAAATATTGGAATGAAAAAACTCGTTCCAAAATCATAATTTTTATACTGGAATTGGCGGAAATCGGAAATTTCAATTTCTTAGTCACTTGAAACATAAATGTATAGTAAAATTGATATTAGAAGTGTAATTTCGGAATTATTTTTGAAATTGAAATCCAATCGGAAATTGGAATCTCATATATATTCTAATTCCGATAAAAAAAATCGAAAAAGAAATGGAATCAAATTTTCAGAATTTGAGATGAAAAATATTGTTCAAAAATCGGAGAAATCCGGATCGAAATGAACGGAAATTAGAAATTTTGTTCCAATTTTCAGGCCCAGCCCCAACCATAAGTTGGGTGGGCCTGAGAAATGCCGTCGGCAGTGGGCCAAATACATAAAATGGACTTAAGATAATTCTATTATGGGCCCACAAAGACCAATTAGATCCAAGCAATCCAACATCAATTTAATTGGAGACAACTAACAAAATGCAGGATCCGGCACTAAAAATCTAGAATCGGGTCGAAAGATGGGTCGGATTTTTCTTTTTTTTCCTTTATTTTTTTTAATTGAAACCATATTTCAAGAACTTAGATATACGGTCACTACTCAACAAACAACTAATGGGTTAATCAAAACCCAAATTTAATTTTCTAATTAAAAAAAAAAAAAAACACATTCATGAGGTTATAAAATCCCATGTAATTTATACGTGTTTGTATCTCTAATTTCTCAATATTATCAACAAAATAAAAACACAAAAACAAAAAATAAAAAAATTTAATACTCCAACGTTGATTTTTTTTTTCCTGTTTAGTAGACATAGAGTTCGGCCAGCTCTTCCAAAGAATCACGAGAATCGGGATCGGCATTTTCAAGCATCCACAAGAGATGATCAAAGAGCACCACCTCACATTTCACCGACAGAGGATCCGGATTCCGACCCGGACCCGGGCACGTTTCGTCGCCGGATTTCTCAATGAGTGCACTCATTAGAGGATGGTTCAAATACTTGGAGCTGATCACATACCTCCTCCTCGAACTCCCCACGAAGATTGTCTCGCACGCCTCCTTCTCCCCCTGCAAATAACAACGATCCGTATCCGGATCCGGATACCTCGTGGACTTGGATCTCAGGCTACTGTAAGAGGAGCTCCGACTCAATTGCCTAGACAAAGTCTTGCACTTCCTAAGTATGGAGTTGATCTTCTTCATGTTGATTTAGTGCTTGTTGTGTACGTAGTGTGAAGAAAAAGTTTGTGACTCGAGATATATATATATACATATACATATATGCAGATCGATCGATCGATCGAAGTGGGATAAGGATTATAAATTTGAATGTGGTTGGAGGGTCGTTGTATCTGACCCGATTGGAGGTAATATTTGAGACCCACTTCCAACCGAAATAAACATGCCATCTTCTTTCGATATGTATATATATGTGGGGTACGTACAAGAACTAGGGTTATGGGTTATGGTCAATATAATTTTGTATGGAGACTTGACTCACAGATTTGCATCTACTAAAATAAACTGTGCACGTGTGAATTTTGTCCTGGAGCTTAAATTAACCCTACCACATGACTACTTTTTCTTTTCAATTTTATTCTTTAGGAATATCAGTAATGATAAATTATGTGACGGTTGGAATGTATAAAAGGCACTGTGAAATATTATTTTATATTTTAATGATTGCCAAAAAAATAAAATTTGCAGCGGTGTGGAAGTATTATTGGTATATGATTGATATCCTGATACAAAGATAAGTAATACACTGTATATGGAAATTGATATTTAATTGTCGGTTGTGATTATTGTTTGGATTAGTAATGCAATGCAATGCATTTTATTTGGTCATCTGTATCTATTCCCAGAATATCTAACTATATCTGTTTTCAAATGATTGATTGTTGCACTACCAGTCTCAATGTACTATCGGCATTTATTGCAATAGAAGAAAACTAGATGTAGGGAAATTAAATACAGCAGAATAAGAAAACACCAACATCAGAATTATCTAGTCCAGATTCTGCAACTATAACTCATGTTCGTCGTTAATTAAAGAGGATTTACGTGTTTAGTTCGAAGAAATTGTAATAATCTCAACTCTTTTCCTTTCTTCTCTTAATCCATCAACCTCCTTTCTGCATAACAAAAACAAAACGAAAATTGCGTACTTCTATCTGAGTATACAAACAAACAGTCACCAAAATTCCTTCTCCCGAAATCCTTACTCTGAACCAAAAGATCACATAGCCTCTAGTATACCACGGTAGCAATATTGCTAATATGATTATGCACGACCAGCACGTTTTTTAATAATGACAAAAAGGAGTCCAAAATATGCAGTATCGATCGACTTCCCACTCTCTACACATGCCTCGTTTCCCCCACTCACCAACTTTTTCCCTTAATACCCCCAAGTCACACTAATATTACGAATTTTTCAGAGACAAATATTGATTATAATGCTCTGTTTTTTTTCCTTTTTTCAAATCTTAAGTTACCCAAGCAATTTCAGAACTCAGTCAGTGCCTTCTAGGACGATCACGAATTTCATTACCCTTGGAGCTTCTCTTATGATCAGAATACCTCTCTTCGCCCCTTCGTTTATCTTCATACTTATCAACACCATCATCTTTTCTATCCCTGTGACTCCCTCGAACATGTTCATAGCCACTTTTCTTTCTACTCTCGTCTACTTTTTTCCCTTCTCCATGGCCCAAGTCATCTATACGTCGTTTTTCATGGCGCTTCTCATACTCCTTTTCATCGTCCCTCCTATGTTTGTGACTGACTTCATCCACATGTCTTCTTTTGTGGTCTCTTTCATCTCTGCTATTCCCGACAGTGACATCATCCACCTTTCTCCTATCACTTGATCCGTTTTTTTCTGAGTAATCTCTTGTTCCTCCCCTGTGTGGGCTTCTTTCACGCTCCTTACTTCTTTCATGCCGTCTATGCCTATCACGTGTGTCTTCGCTCCTCCTATCTCGATCTTTAGAGCTGTAAGGATCACGGGTTTTACTATCTCGTCTTTCATCATTTTGTTCAGGTTGAAGGTCTCTTCTCCTCTTGCTATGATGTGCTGCTCTGTCATCATCTCCCTCAAAAACCATTTCGTACCTAAAAGGAGATTTTATGTGAGAAATTTTCGGAGGAGATAAAAAAGTATTTTAATTTCTAATTGACATGTTACTTTACTACCTTGTGCTGCCATCTCCACCACGCTGAGTATTGACATCTCTCAGTGTGTATTTTGAATTTGGTTGGGAGATTGAATCTCCACTGCAGTCCTTAGCAATGTGATCGAGAGATCCACATTTGAAGCAACCTCCTCCTGCAATAAAAATAGAGCAATTAACATAGAGAATAAATTTAAAGTCTGGAAACAAATAATACAGTTGATATTTGTTGAATCAAGCATTCCGCTGCACACCTCTGTACTTGGCAAAAATAACACAAACCACCATGGTTATGCGTTACTACATTGTATGATCAGGGATTCACCTTCATACTTACTACTGCTTTTTTGTAAGTTGTAATTTGCCAGTATTCGTATCTAAAAATAATAATAATAACAATAAACCTTACCTTCACCCTTTTGACCCTTGCGTCTATACTGGGACCATAGCTTCGAGACACTTTGACTAAAATCAACATGAATCCTTCGATCGTCAATCAGAGCATTGTCCATCTGCAATTTAGATAAAGCCCATGAAATTCAAGCGAATGCTGCTCGTATACTAAATTCCTGATAGGACTTAGGAGTCATATTATGGAACTTTAAGCAAATATTCAAACTAGTTGCTCTAAACAACACACCATTTAGCTATAAATAAAGAATCAGAAGTGCAGTTACAATGCAATCTACTAAAGTAAAATCAATAGCAAATATATGCCTTACTTTGCACCCTCTTAATCATATTCAAAGAGGTTTTTGAACCCATCTCTAGATGTAAGAGATCTAACAAACCATACACTCTACATTTTGTTCATTTTTCATTCTGAAGGTACGAAAATGATATGACAAAATGACAATAAAGTGAAATAAACTGGAACCGAAAATGGAATCGGATTTTACATCTGACTATTAGAAAGTGATACACGGACATTAGTCGGTTAAAATATCAGCAGTCTTTCCGATTGCTCATGAATTCCAAATAATCTAAAACCCTGGTGGGATTTTAAGATGATATGCCTACTTCCAATAAAAATAACACACTAAGGCCCCGTTTGGTTGCCAAGATAAGCCATGATTAACTAAATAGTTGGACTTAATTTGATGTTTGGTATCCTCAATAACTTGCCGGGTCGACCCGCCAAAATTATATAATCATGGTTTATCTTGTCTTATCTTGGCTTATCTTGCCTTTTAATGAGTTTTTTTTGTTGGACCTTTCAAGCTCCAATAAAATAATTGGGTCTCATTAGATTATTTAGTCTTATCTTGGCTAATCTTATCTTGTCAACCAAACGGGGCCTAAGTGCTACTGTTCTCAGATTTTTTAATATTACAACAAATTAGTTTAATTATAGAAAAGCTGTGCAAAGAAATCAGTAAACACAGAGCATGAAGTGATGCAACTTTCTCAAATATTGGGTTTATATTCCTCATCAGCCAATGAAAATAAAGCTAAGACATATCACAAGACGCATTGTTAAAAAATTCCATGTTATGTATTCAATGGTAACATACAGACCATGAAGACCACAAAATCATAATGTTTTGATGCAATATATCTCCTTCCCCTTGCTACTTCTCAAGATCATGGTACACTATCAGTCAATAACTAATTAGCATAACTCACTTAAAATACTACTTCACGATATCAAACCTATAAAATCAAATTGAATAATTAATTTCACTCAAAATTTTCATCTAGTACAATTAATGGCAAGGTACTATTACAGGAACACCACAGCGTCATAAATTAATGACACTATAATAAGTCTAGCGACTACAGTTAAGATCATAACAGACTACAAGAATATGACTAGTGAGAGTAACCATCTAGCAATACAAAGAGAGGCAATTTCAATTGATGCTTTTAGGCAGAGAAATTCCGAAACAAAGAAGTTTAGGATTACTCAATGTACCTTGAAATATGCTTGTTCACAGGCGTCATTGTCCTCAAATTCTGCAAACCCGGAAAAAGAGAAACTATCAGTAGCAATAATAATGATCAATGGTGATCTTTATACATAATATTATATAATGTAACATAACAAGCCCATAAGCAATCAAAAGCCATTGAACCATCACTTCATTCAAAGGCTACTGAGCTCCTACCTAGTCGCATAAATAAAAAAAAATTGACACCAAACCATGCCATTTCCCAATCCATCAAAAACCAAATGTAGAGAAATTCACCATAAGTTTTTCTTATATTTACCTAGACCTTTTGTTAAAGCAATAATGGACGATCCCTGCAGTATTAGTGGACACAAAGATAGCAACCTAACTATTTTCCACAAAAAAAAATTCACACAGAAATCTACTCTTGGCATTAGAACAATCAGTTTATACACTTCGAAAATAATCTCACGCAATTTTCGGCATTAGATAGAAGCAACTATTTCAATAGTTCATTTACTAGAGGAATTCAATGGATATCTTAAGCTGTGACTATCACTGTTACAAGGACAAAGGTACACAGTGCAGCAAGCCCAACACTCTCTTCATATGCAATCTTCATTCGTGCAACAACAGAGAATAATATAATTCTAAAGAAACCGAATTACACCATTGCATAAAAAAAGAATGACAGAGATACGGACACTTGTTTCACAAGTAACTTCATAAGAAGAACAAACTCACCTATAAAAGCATAGCACAAACTATCCCCAGTTTTCTGATCTCGGATAACTTCAGCACTGTGAATGTTTAGAATTTAGTCAGCCCATGAGAAATAGTTGGGAAATCAAAACTTGTAAATGAAAAAAGATAAGAGCAGCCCAAGCATTGAGATACTCACGATGTTACAACTCCAAAACGAGAAAAAATTGTATGCAGGTCCTCATCCTACAGATGAAAGAAAACATAGTATCACAAAATAAGGTAAGTCATCATAAAAAAACATCAGGCTTGGTATTGGACAAAACAATAATAAAATAACATATTGAGAATGGACTCACTTACTTCAGTTACTGGATTCAATTTACATACAAACAGCACATTATCAGGAGGCTTCACCTCAGCATCAGGAATGTCCCCTATCTGTTACATAAATTAGCCTTAAGAGTTCATTCAATACAGCAGGCCTGCTACTATCTTACAAATATGTTTTTTTCAGTTCTCTCCCATATTTGAATGTAATGATTATGGATAAAATTCTTACAGTCTCAAGTACTATTGCACGAGAATGAGCATCCTTTTCACGCAAGACCTCTTCAATCTCTTGTGGGTTAAGTTGCTCATCCATAGGGATCCAATCATCTTCCAGTCTGACATCGTCATCAACCTAAATATAGACCAATTACCATACCACCGAGCAATATCAATCTCACTGAATTTCACCAGCTTAATACTGCATTTAAAAAACAACTCACAGCAGGGGTAAAAACTAAAAATACTGACAAAATTGCAAATAACTACAATAATAGATTTATGTCACTGAGAAAAACAATTATGGAGCATACCAGATTTTTTTATAAATTTGCAGTAAAGTGGAGTACAAGTTATAGAAATATGAAACTAAAAGACCTCCATCGGTTATTGAATTATTGTGAAGAGAACAATATAGAGTTTTGGCTCAACCACACTAATTGGTCCACAAACAAATCATTCACACATTTTCCATATTAAGCATATGGAAATGGTTCGTACTTTTTGTGCATCAACTGTACGTAGCAAGTTAAAAGCATTAAAAAAATACCAGACATGCATCCAGAATCTGAAGAACTAAAACATCTAACAACAACCAAATTCACATCAAACTGTGAAAGACTGGTTCCACAAATACTTAAAATGATGTCAAAAACAACCACCAATCAAATCCTTGACAAAAATATCCACGACTTTCTACATGATTATCTAATCTTTATCACAAAAAATCCATCTCCTAAATGCACAAAACACCCATATGAGCCACAAGTTGCACATGAAAAATGTAAAGTAGCAAGCATATAGAGAAGTTCATTACTTCATCTTTTGGTTTTCCTTCAGGTGAAGCATCGGGGATCAAGTCAGCTAGTTGTGGAGGATCATCAAAAGGATCATCTAATATATATGTGTGTTTGATTCTGCAAGTTGAAAATTGTCAGAAGAGAGAAGAGAACTCAAAACCATTTAAATGGAAAAAAGGAAACTAGCAGCAAACGGTCCGAGAAAACTGACCTAATATTTTTATACGGTTTGTCCTTCTCATCGGCATAAGCTTCATTTATTCTAGTAAGTGTTTCCAGTCCTTCAGCAACCTCCCCAAACACCTTCGAGTTAAACAAATAACAATATTATAATTCAACCGAGATAGTTCCTTCAATACTATGTATTTATTAGCATAAAAAAGTTGTGAAAGAGGTTGAACCCCTTTAAACATATCTAATACGGAAAGTATCAATAAAAAAAATTATATGCTACACAACTACAGAAGCCTCATCAGATTTCCTAACTACCTGTTTATCTTGTCCTTTAAGTGCAATTCATAGTCTTAAAAGGAGTAATATAATATTAATATCTTATAAATGAAATGAACACCCTCATTTTATTTTTGGCCATTTCTCCTTTAGGTAAGAGAGTTGCATAGTGGTTCATTAAGAAAATGGTGAACAGGCCTATAGTTCTCTTGGAATCTCTCGTTCTTAAGGAACACGGAAGATAATTACACAAAAGAAATGGTGAAAAGTTAATAACCAAGTCGTTTATATATTCAGCTTTGGTATTTTCTTCCTTTTTTCTTTACTCTTGGAGTGTGTGCATGTATGCGTGGATTTGGGGTGTGTGGTTCTTAATGTACTGGATGAATATTCCTTCAATAAAAGATTAAACCATTAAAGACCAACTGCAAGGAGGTTACGTTTTAGATCAGAAAACTCACTGTATGCTTGCCATCCAAGTAATCAAGATCCTCACGCAGTGTGATATAGAACTGTAAAAGAACCAAAAAAATCAGAAGCATTAAAATAGAACATCCCCGCAACAAGGAGATCATCGTTTAATTGCGAGAAAATGTTTTGTGTCGTCAAGAATACATGCCAAGTAAACCATACCTGAGAAGCATTCAGATTCTCTCCGGCACTAGCCATGGCTAGTGTACCAGTCTTTGAATGTTTAACATCCAGGTGAATTTCATCACCAAAAAAGCGAGCCTGCTCGCCATATAAGAACCTGAGAGTAAAGGCCGTGGAACGGTCATACAATTACTGAATGTCAAGCTTTAGGACCACTCATGAAGAACAAAATAATTTGAAAGATGGCCATGCTAAAGTTGCTTGAAATCAACTGTGAGAAATTTAGTTTCATACATCCATTACAATATGCAAACTAAACTATAATTTTAAACAAAAAGATTTGTCAACTCACTTGTACACAGAATCACCACCAGATCCTGTCCCAGTAGGATCACCTGTCTGTGCCGTGAAATCTTTCTGTACTGTGTGAAAGAGGCATCCATTATAATACTTGATCCTACAAAGAAAAGAGACAGGATTAAAGATCATTTACTATTTTCCCTTCCTCGAAGAAATTGTATGTCTAACAAATACAACGATGGAAATTCATCTAAATCAGCTTCAAACGTAAATTTTCTCCATCTGAATACATAAATTTCATAAAGCCATGAAGCAAATGCAACTGTAACCAAAATCATGGACGCAAAATGCAACTATAAGAAACAGAAACATAACAGGGAAGAAACAAAAAAGTAGGTTGCTCAGCTCAGCAATAAGGAAAAAGTGCTGCGTCGGAAAAAAAACTTGAATAACGAAAAACTTACTTGCACAGCTTGAGGAAATTTTTGCATGTCAGAGGGCATCGGTCTGTGAACAAATCCACAACTATGTCTCCCAAGCTCGTCACTATCATGACCGACATATTTCACTATGTTTCTGCTACGCCCTAATTTCCTACAAATGAACAGATTGAGAAGAGAAAAAGGGGGGAGAAATGAAGGAACCCTAATTCGATTTTTTCTTCTTTTATGTTTACGTTATTTTCTAGCTGCCAATTTGATTTATCCAATTTCGGTAATTTGGCCTCCCAACGCAATGATCAATTCCAGGCAGAATTTTGATTATCCAGACCTTGGGGGCATTTTTGCTAATAGAAGAGAGAGAATGAAAAAAAGAAATAAAAGAGAGAGATAGAAGGCGGGCTTGGGTTGAGTTGATCTGTTGGATTTGGTCTTTTTAAATTACGCGTATTTTAATTCTGAAATTAAGGGTTTTAGTGGGCTTTATAGATTGGGTTAGTGGGTTTCGGTTATTGAACTCAATTTTAGATTTTAATATAAATTCAAACTAATCTAAATTAATAAATCTAATATATTTCAAAAATAATGATCAATTTGATGTCTATGGGAGTGAATAAACTTTAATGGATAATTAAAAGTTAGAACACTATAGCAATAATATCTCGTTGACTATATAAAATAAATAAAAAATTAATAACAGAGCCAATCAACTAGAGTGATGCCCCCCCCCCCCCCCCCCTCTTGAGAAAGTCGAACAGATGCGGCACGAACCATCTCAACAAGATTGTCGTCTAGTTGATCGAGCTCGCCGGAAATGCGCAGTTGATGATACGAAGGTGCCATATGATTTGCTGCAACTTGAGCCAATTTCCACTGGGAGAAGTTTGCAGCAATTTGAATTATTTTAGTAGACAAGTTTTGAGAAGAATCTATGCAGGAGATGACAACTTCGTAACACTCTTCGTAAAGATCGTCAATTAGCCAAAATTCAGCAAGCCAACAAAGCTCCAAGTACGTATGGACTTGTCGGAATTTCTCCTCTGGTTCCAAATTAGCCCATACACAGTCAAAAATAGGTACAGGCAACCGATCGGAGTAGAACCACCTAACGAGTTTATTAAGTGACTCCCAACTCACAGGAACCTTAATGGTCTGCAAATTACTGCATAACAATTACACGAAAAGCTTGTATTTAGGGGGAAAACAAAAAATATAATAATAAACAGCAAATAATATATCAAACTGCTATTTTTGTAATCTGTATTCCTTAACATTCATAACATAGATATAACTTATAAGTACCTCTCTTGCATTCCCGATTGAAATAAGGCCCGTAAATAATCACAGCTTGACAGCAATATAACTTTGTGAACATGTAAGTGAGGAACCAAAGCGGAGCAACTGTTGCAGTTCCAATGTACAAGTTGTGTCGTGCTGCCAGCTTCCAGGATAAGATTCCTGAATTAAGGAAACGAGCGATTACATCAAACCACATCACATTAAAGTAGTTTTTAATTTATACAGGGAAAGTTGCATGCAAATGCCACAAGTCATTTATCGAGGAAAAGGTACATACGATAAATTATGTCCAGCTGGTCCAAGAGCAGGACTAAGATCAAAGCTTGGTACATCGACACCCCATTTTGGATTCTTTCTACAAAGCACCTGCATCAGAGATTCCAATTTACAGTGCCTCGCAAACAATTTCAGCTTTTTAACAAGGTCCTTGCTTGCTTGTAAATATCCAGAGTAAACATATTCTAGCAACTTCAACAAAGATGGCTGATCCACGTGAGCCGATAGATGAACTGCCTTAACAATATTTCTCCCCACATCCGATTTTACACCAGAAGATTTCTGTTTAGGGACTGATTCCCCAGGAGGTAGCAGTGATGGACATCTTACAGTAAGAATTACTTCATGAACATAGACAGATTCCTCGTTTACAAAATGTAGCTTCATATCAGAATGCTCTCTCTCCCCAAGTAATTTTCCAATCCTCTTACCCAATTTACTAGGGAACCCAAATATTCCGAAATAGCTAAGTACATATGCAGCATACCATCTTGAACCATGAGAATTACGGTCTCTGCATATCTCCTGAAGTTCTTGAATCAGTTGACTTCTAGGAAAGTCTTCATGGTTGTCAGAGGAATTAGCTTTCTTATTATAAGCAGAATGATGTAGCAACTCGCTAACTATCCACAAACTAAAAAGCAAAAGCATGTCTTCCCCTTCCCACTCTTCTGTACTTGGGTAACAACAACTCCTTTCACTGAACGAATCACGCAAATGAGGCACTGTACTTTCTCTTTTCAAATGAACAGGATTGCTTAGCCACCACATAACGAAGGCTACCATAATTTTCATCCCTTGGAATTTAATGATGAGTTCCTGATATGTTGGTAGACTACAGTAACATGCCAAACTCATTAAGCTCACCACTATTTGAAGGTTTCCTGGAAGCCCAAATTTGGCTCCAGTCAATACCGCATTTAGAATCTTCAGTAAGTATTCAACATAATCCTTGCCATCTGCCTTGAGTATTTCATATAATATGGACCTAGCCAATGATGCAATATATTTGCAAGGAGAATAAACCATCATAAGAACTGCCCTGCATGCTGATTCACACTCGGTCATATTTGTGACACCATTTTGAGATACCTGCCGCAATGTTCCCATAGAGTCGACGAAAGACAAGCTGTGAAACAGGGACAATAATGCGAGAGAGAAACATGAAAATAATGAGCATCCTATGGTGATGGTGAAGAAAATATCCGCGAACAACAATAATAGGAACAATAAGGACAATAATAATAAACCCAAAAAGAAACCGAAACCAATATAAAATAAATCGAGCTACAAAAGCATTGTCTAGTGGACAGATGTATTACCATGCACATACTATAAGGACCCTAAGTTGGAGCTCATTCTCATGTATCTCATGGCTGATATTTTCTTCACAATTTGCAGCAAGTCCTCCAAGAATATCCCACAAGTACGGTCTAAAAGAAAATAGAAGATTTGAATTTTGACTCTCTCGAACAATATTTATCAGATCATTCACAGATAACTCACGCTGCAGTTGGTGAATTTTGGGATAGTCCAGAAGAAGATCAAGGAGTAGTCTATCTGTGCCAGCTTTCCAAAAGTATATGTGATGATTGCCTGGCCAGCGAGTGATTGAAGCCAAACGGCACGCCTCCTCCGTAACTGACAGTTGGTTTTTATCAAGTTTTTCAGATAGTGTATTGCTATATTTCATTGCACCGGTTACAGCTTTGACTAGGGGCTCGCAGCATATGTTCATCATCTGTATACATCCTCTCCTGCTGAGCTGATAAAATTAAAGCATAACAAGTCAGACACAAAATCGTTGACTACTTCCTGACAGGATAAGTGTTCAATTGAGAATGACTACCGCTAAACAACGCGCAAGTTTGAATGCTTCCATACGAACTGAATGAGAATTTGAACTGTCCATGCAGCTTACAGTCATTTGTACAAGTGCCTCTCCATTTTCTAGAAGTTTCTGCGCCCCATTGCCACATAGAGCTGGCAAGCAAATATAAGACAGTTGCAAGCTCACATAAAAGCTAAATATACGAGTTAGGTGCAAATAGTAGGAAAGCCATAACAGAGAGTATGAATACCTAGAGAAGAATACAATTGCAGGACAACAACTTTAACTGAACTCTCAGAGATGAGTTTGATAGCATCCAAACAGTTTAAGAAGTTAGAATCATTCCACACGCAGAATCTAAAAGATGGCCACCACAACAGTATTCTACTTAAAAGAGAAGCCATCTCTTGGAAGTACTCAATCTGTATATTAACAATAGAGAGTTGCTTAATATTGTGGACAAGATAGCCAACTGCTTTTGTTTCCTTCAAAATCTGCCACACTTCTCTCTCTCGTCTAGAACTTAGCTTTGGTAAAATAACATTCATGGCAGTAGCACATGACATTGCAACTTGCAGTTGATGGGAAGATAACAAATCCACTATAGGACATATAAGATCCAAACCACGATTTTGCAGCAGAATTGAACCTGGCAGAACTTTAACCATCTTTACAGCCACACTGGAGGCCAATCTCAATATAGACTGGTTTTTGAATTCTAGTATACTTTCTAATGCTCTGACCATATCAACAACCGAATCCTTGAAAGAGAAGAAGTAAGAGAAAAATATCAGTGGAAAGTACCGAGCATCATTCATTTAATACGATACACCGAATTCGGGATGGTATAGTTTCTGCAAAACAATCAATCATAGAAGTTTGGTTTCTATTCAATTGGATGCTCAGCAACATTTAGACAAACTAGGTTTAGAGATGCTCATATGCATGAATAACATGCTTATTATAATTATCAAAAAGCTTCATAACGTAATACTTTTGATGTTTCAATACATTCTAATCCAGCATGCTTGTTGCCAAAAGACAAAACAGAAGCGGATCATCCAAGTCAATAAACCAATTTTATGTACGCTACATTATTCACTTGCAAAACATGATAAGCAGAAGAAAGATCTTTGTCATGAACCATCCGATAGCTTGAACATTTAATCCAAACCAAAAGTTGAACAAGAAATAACAGATTGAGGTTTGAAAGCTAGGGTAACCTGTCCAATACTTATGCACAACACCATATTAGGAATGCCAAATTGAAGACTTTGGTAGTATCTTACAAAATTATTTTCATCAAAATCCAATTCACCATTATCTCCTCAATACTTGAAATGTGGTCTAGCGGAGAAATTATGAAAGAGAATTATGCCTGACTTTATATATCTTAGTATTCCCATATAAAGATACCAAACCCATCCAATTCAACATAGAGAATCCTCACTAGACATAAAGCATTTTCTCGTTCATTAGACACAAAACATTATGAAGGTTGCGCAGGTTTTAAAATCCCTACAAGCAATGTATCATGGTTGAGAAAATAGAGAGATCTCTTAATAAAGCTAGATCTCGTGATTATCACCATCTATTGATGTGAAATGACAATGAAATGTTCAACTAATGAAACAATGTCCGCAAATAAAGAAAAAATCGGTACCTATTTGAGTGAGACATATATGAGTTGTTTATGTGGCTTCTCAGATCCGGTTAAGTACCTTGACAAGTGGATATTGTAGCGTCTCGCTAGAGATACACTCAAGGTAAGCATCAACTGAACGAAGCACCAGTCTTTGTGTCTCAATGTCTGTACAATGCCATTTCTTTCTGTTCACCCAGGTTCTGAAATTACGGGAGGCAATTAAGAAGAAAGTCACAGTTGAGAGCTAATTTTTTTTTTAAAGTTGATTTTTAAGAAATTAATGCACATCACACTCAGTAATTTCTCAAGTAATCACATTATATAGTCAAAATTGTTAACAAACTTGTCCTTTTAACACCACTGCACTACCAAACAATGTCATAAATTCTGTATCATTCATGGCATGGAGATACATGGAGACTGATAAACCTAGAAGAAGGAGAAAAGATTCCACTTTCCATACCTGACATAAAAACTTAATCATGTTCGTGATAGAAAAACCTAGCCATGTTTGGTATGGGCAGTATTATTTTGAGTCTGAATAAAGAGCGATCGCGCATACTGCTCGGAACGAAATTAGCACAAGTATACTCATTAAGAGAAATAAATATGTCAATCATTTCATCACATCATCTAAGGGAGTACTGTGAATTTTATGGATGATCTGCAAAATTGCGCCACTCACAAGCAAAAACTAGTGAAATCTGATGTTAGAGAATTGATCAAGATCAAACAGGCGTAAAAATCATGCTGGCTTAACATCTCCAAGCCAACACTTAAATCTCAGGCAACATATATTGCAGAAAATTCTAGGAGGAGCAATTTGAAAACTAATTAATTCATACAATCAAACTAAACTCGGAAACTCAAGTAGGAAAGCAGGGTAAGTATACAGATGACATATTCAGAGGTTCGCTAAGGATCTTATGTGGCAGAGTAACTATAAAAAGTCCCTAAAAACTGTGCATGAGCAAAGAGCTAAAGCAAAAAACAATATATGAATTGTGAATCCAACTATGGTGAGTTACTAATACCCGAGGTTTAGGGCATGATAGAGGCGTTGATGGAGGGTGAGGACATGACCGCTGAGGCCGCGGTTGTTGTCCGCCGCGCCGTGCTTCGCCGATGATCGCATTTGATTTTACTCTGCGGCGGTCGCCGCTCAGGGGTCGCGAGCGAGAGCAGGAAATTCAATTCTGAGCGCAATTAGATAGGAATCCCAACTCCCAAGACACAAACCGCCATTTCGAATAGAACTTATAATAAGATTGGTTGAGTGCAAATTTACTAGCAAGGAGGGACTTGCTTTGATTTTTTTGGCAAACTAAAAAAAATATTTAAAGTAATTTATATGAAATAAAAAATTATCTTTACTATATTAATTTGAAAAATAAGTTCAAATTTATTATTTTTTTTACATTCTTTTCTTCTATTTTTTGTTAGAGCAAATGCAATGCATAAAAAAACATCAAGGTTTAGGGTTCGAGTTACCTCTCCCTTACTTTCTCTTATAATGACTTAAATTACTCAAAAATGCTCACTTAATTATATATCTATAGGATTTTCGGGTTGCCCTAGTCTTTCGAAAAAGAAAAAAATGAATAATAATTATCTGACTGGATTAGGATCCTTGCTACCAAATATAATTAGATGAAAAATAGGAGATAAAAAAAATAATATACAAATTTATTCAAGTGGATTACGAGTCTTGCTAGTAAATTTACGATAATGCCATTAAGGTTTTTTAGGTTGACCTAGTGTTTACATAATTTTTTTGATATTGTTTACATGTATATCAACCGTTCAAAGTGTTCGTTCGCTTTATTTTATCCAAAATAAATTTAAAAAAAAATATTGATCCCGTGCATCGCACAGGTGAATTACTAGTTTATATATAAATTCGGAAATCAAATGGTACTTAGAGGATTGGATACCTCATTTAACACCCTAATTGGGTTTTTACATTTTTTTTTATATAATTTTTAAATATATTATTATTATATTTAATAAATTTTTAACATCTTATTAAAAATTACTGAATGAGTTTATAAAAGAATTCCACAATATTTTTATACATATCATTTATCAACATCATACAATTTACAGCAATACAAAACAATTGGGCCTGTGGTTCTGTAAGCCCACTAATAATTTCCAAATTCGCAATCCGTTATAAGCGGCCCACTAAGAATTGGGGGTAGGGTTTATACTCCTCCAAGCCTAAACCCTGATTCCCTCTCATTCCCCTTTCCGATTCGAAACAATTCGTTGCGAGAAAAAAAAAATGTTTACAGGTGGAAAGAGCTTCGTCTCTTCACCGCCGGCGTTCTCAAACGACGCCAAGCGCCTCCTTGTATGCACCGGCAACACCGTCTCCATTTTCAGCACCTCCACTGGTCTACAGGTTCGTTCTGATTCTAACTAACTATTCAGCTTCTGGCCTCTTTTACCCGTTATTAAGTTTATTTATTCATTTTAAGATATATCGATTTTTCTGGTTTGCAGACGGGTGAATTGGAAGGTCATGGGGCGAAGGTGACGTCGGTGATAGTTGTTCCGGCTTCTACTCCGGCGAGTAAAGTGTTGTGTTATTGCTGGACGTCGTCCCTCGATGGGAATATCAAGTACTGGGATTTTGCTGCTCCCGAATTGATGAAGACTATTGATATTCGATTCCCTATCCACTCAATGGTGAGTTTATCTTTCTTATGGCTGGCAAGTTTACCGTGTTTGGACTAGCATTTTTTATTTAATTCATTGTTTCATCTTAGGTGATCGTAAATGTAGTAGAGATATTTGTTCTCTTCTCATTAAGAATTATTAGAAAATAAGATAACCTTTATTTTTATGTGATTTGTTATAGTTCTGTTAATCAAGTTTTGTTGGTTGAATTTAACATGTTATTGCTGATTTTAGGTTATTCCAAGTTTATTAAGCCAGACAACTGAAAGCAGCGGGAAAATTCATGATGTTTTTGCTTATGTCTCTACCGAGGATGTAAAATTAAAGGCAGACAAAACTATTTCCGTACGTGGACAGATTCAGAAATGTAATCTGACGAAGTCCCGCTTAGTTGGTGGGCTTGAACTGGCCAAGGTGATTGTTGATTAGTGGATTTGCTTTTCGTATAATTGCATTTATTTCAATGTTAGTATTATACAGATTGGTTTGTAGTGCTGCTTTGATTAATAGTGATGACTTAAGAATTGAAGTTTTAAATGCTGAGTAGCGAGTATCCTATAAATGTGCTCCAACTAACCTCAGCGCCATATGCTAATAAAAAACCTGGCAAAGTAACAACATTCTCAATTAGAATTACAGACATAACTTTTAATTATAGAGGTAATATGGCTATGATATTCTCTAAATTCATCACCTGCTAAGTAGAAGGGCACCATGGGAAAAGATAACTTATTTTGTGTGTGTGTGTGTGTGTGTGTGTGTGTGTGTGTGTGTGTGTTTGCTATTAGCCAATTTTGTATTTATTGAATTTGCATATTCTTGATGCTACAATTAGTTGTGGAGTAGAAAACATATTTGAACATCTTAAAAGACGTGAAAATACAGTTAGACTCCGTAGACAGTGAGATATATAATGTCATACTCTTGTGAAAAGCACTGACTTGCGTTCGTGAAGAACTGGAACCAAGTAATATGAGGGAAGTGATGAATTTTTTTTGAAGTCATGTGCTGAGGAAAATGTTAATTCACATTTATTGATAGCATAACTTGTTCATCGTCTTTTTAAGTCTGGAACTACTTGATTGTGTTGCAGATTGAGCGACCGGGTTCCATAATCATTAGTCCCTCTGGGAATCAGATCGGAGTGTATGAAAAATGCAAGCTTCTAATATGGGAAATTCCAGCCAAAGATCTTGACCAACATTGTTTCAAGAAAATTAGATTGCATCACACTAAATCATTTACAGCTATGGCTTTTCATCCAACTGAAAGGATTTTAGCAGCGGGCGATGTTACAGGAAGGATCCTAGTATGGAGAGGTGTTGGACGAAAAACATTTTCGAATGGTAAATTAATTAATGGAGGGTTGAATGAGGATGAAGATGATAGTCCTGGAGTGAGAAGTGGCGATGATGCCGATTCTTGTACCACATGGCATTGGCATTCTTCACAAGTGAATGTTCTCTTCTTCTCTTCAGATGGTGCTTATTTGTACTCAGGTATTATGAGTGACAGCTGATTATTATGTTTCAGTTGAAAAACTAGTTCTTGCTGTTATAGTTGAAAGAAACTAGTTATTTTCTGCATGCTTTACATCAAGCGTTCTTTCTGTTGCTGCTTCTTGCATCCTTTAACTTGGAAACAATTATTCCACGCATCTGTCTAGTATGTGTTAATAATATCCTTAATTTCCAGGTGGCAGAGAGGGAGTTTTGGTTGTTTGGCAGTTGGACACTGGAAAGAAAAAATTTCTCCCACGAATTGGATCCCCGCTTCTGTATTACATCAATTCCCCGGACCCTACGCTATCATCTGTAAGAATTATTGACGACTTCAATTCTTCTTTCTTTTTACAACTTCAACCATCTGTTTGAAAAATTCTCATTAGTAAATTTCTTCAGATTTCATGTACAGATAATCGAATTCAACTGCTCAGAATGCCTTCAATGGAAATCGTGAGATCTATTTCAGGGATTAAGGTTTGTTTGATGAAGTTACTAGCCATGCTAATTAATTAGAGAGAACTTCATAGAGGAAAATTTGAACTATTTTTCTTAAATAAATTAATTATTTTAGTACATTAGAATAGTTTATTAGATGTTTGCCCCTTGTAATACCCATTCTGCAGTTCTTCGATGTACTTAAGAACTTTTTTTCTGTATTTCAGCTTCCAAGTTCACGGGCGGAAATGTACGATGCTTATGGCTCGGGTGTTGTCTTCAATCACACTGCTGGGTTGATTGCAGTACCCACTGAGAATTACCGTGTTCAGTTTTATAGTTTGTTTGATGACCGTGAGGTATCAGAGGTAAGCACAAATAGTTGATTAACTGCATCTTCATCAAGCAGCCTTCTGATGGTTTCTTGAATTTTGAGTTTTCTTTGCAGTATTTATTTTTTGGCTGATGATTTCTTGATTTTGTATGTTTTCAGGTTCAAATATGTGAGAGAAACCATCATCCGAGTGATGATATAACGGTAAAATTTCCTTGACTTATGATTCAATACGGAATATATGCCATATCTATCTTCTTATGCAATTGGGTCAATCTAGATGCTATTGTTTATCGTAAGAAGGAAGTATACTGCATTTAGAATGCTCGGTTATTACTAGGTTGTCAAAGTTTTTTAGTCACGGTACTTCAAGAAAAAACATGTCAGTATCTGGTTGATGGTTCAGATTCCCGTGTCTCACTTTTTCTATTGTTACTTCATTTTTTCCTCTTTGATTATTTTGTCCCGGTACTTCGTTTTTGTTCAGAAATCCTAATGTTCACAATTTTAGTAGTTTGCCATTTTGTTAAATCTTTTATAGGCTTATCTTCTCTTGAGTTTTTTCATTCCTTCTTTCTTGTATATAAATCATGAATTTAATCAGCGTCATTTTTTTTGTTTAGCTATCCTTAATTCCTGATCATGAGATATTAAAAACCTCAATTGTCAACTCTTATTTATGTCAAGAACAACTTTCTACTTAAAAAGAAACATTATATATTTCTACTTTACATACTCCAACATTAGCATTGTCCATCTTTTCTTGGGTGTCGTAATGAACTAATGATGAATCACGTGGATGGTAATTAATCATGATGTCATCAATATAATATCAATTTTATGTTACGCCTTTCAGGTGAAGGTGAATCTGGTAGCTCTTTCCCAAGATGGCTCTACAATGAGCACTGTTGAAACCAGACTTCCTGAAGAAGGAATCGGTGGCCTTGTGAGTCTTAAGTTCTGGGCATGTGACTCTCAGAGCAAACAGTTCAGCTTGTCTACCATCATATATGAACCTCACAGGTTTAGTTTATCCTTCTCTTAGAATTTTCTAGGCTTGTGTGTTGCAATGAGATGAAATTTCATTGGCACGTTCCAACTTTTTTCCTACAAGATTTGTCATGTATGTGGTGTAATGAATATGAGATTGAGGTTTAAGTAGCACTGAGATATACTTGCTGAGTTCTAATGTTCTCTGCTATTTACAATACAGGGAGGCTGCGATATCATCTATAGCTTTCCGTCCAGCTAGTCACATGGTTGTCAGTTCTTCACACGGTGGTGATTTTAAGGTATGGCACTTTTGAGCGATTTTCTTCCTCACAAATGACGCCTTTGCTTATGAATTCCCCTACTTGCAGGTATGGGTTCGTAGACAAGAGATACACCCAAAGGATCAGAATACTGGATGGACTTGCCATGCTGTTGGATCGTACAAGTATTTCTTTTTACTCCATGCAATTTGATATCTTTGGCTTTATAATATATGTTATTTGTATGTAAAATACCTTAAATGGATTTTAAACATGCGAGTTGAATACTTCAGCCAAATTGTACACTGTTCGAGCATTTTTTCTAAAGATAGTCCATTATGCTTGTGGAAGTATCTATTAAGCGGAATCCAATTGGCAGGAAGAAGCCTCTGACTGCTGCTG